AGCACTGTCACCACCAGGATGTTCTGAGGAGGATAGAGACTCCTTGAGAACTTTTCCAGTGTTCAAGTTGGGTCGCAGGTAGTTAGACACCCAGACTAAAGGTACTGAATGGATACATGGTATGTTGTCATTCATCACAACCCCTCTATTTAGCATAAACTGAGCTGCAGCTAGTTCCCCTTTTCCAGAGCAAATATTCTTGTATCAGCTAACAAAGATGAAAGAGGAGATTGCCAGTGGGGCTCAGGCACTTCCCTCCCTGAGATGGAGAGAGGTCACACATCGTGCACCTGTGCAGTGCTGGCCCACAGAGCCAAGCTCCCCAGCATGCTGCTGGCATCTCACATCTCACTCTTGGTGGCATCATACATATGCTTCATGTGCTGGGATGAAACATTCAGATTTCGCTGTGTGAGAGATGAGTGCAGGAAACAAGAAACACCGACCTCACCTTTTTACTTACAGGGAGCTGCTTTTCTCTACACTCTGGAATAATGTGACATAATTTAAAATAATTTAATGCATTGCCGTAGTCATTGCTTTCATGTCAGTCAGTGGAATTACCTACGATGGTAACTGTTATACAGTAAATACTTGCAGGGGCAGTTCAGAAGCCTGATCCTACAAATCTTATTTACAAGCATTAACCCACTGATTCATTGCCACTACAAGTAAGGCACACTCACATCATCATAAATATTTTCAGGACGGCCTTAATACATGTATTTTCACTCAGAGGGTGGTGAGGCACTGGAACAGGTTGCCCAAGGAGGCTGTGGATGCCCCATCCCTGGAGGCATTCAAGGCCAGGCTGGATGTGGCTGTGGGCAGCCTGATCTGGTTGGTGACCTTGCACAGAGCAGGGGTGTTGAAACTGGATGATCATTGTGGTCCTTTTAACCCAGGCCATTTTGTGATTCTACGATTAAACTCATTTGGGTGCAAAAGGGAGGAAATGACCCACTGAGTAATGCCAGGCTAAGCCCACTGAGTGCATAATGGCATTCGCCGAGATTTTCATGCAGCAGAAGGGTGGCTAAGAAGAGGCCAGGGATGTTCCTAAGAAGTTGCACAGTCAGGGTCTGTGGCCAGTTCTCTGGGTTGTGCTTACACTGCACGCGCTTGCTGTTACGGTCTGCGGCTCTTTAACAAAATGTTTTGTTCCTTTCCTTGGTCACGTTTGCTCTCTCCCCACACAAATCCAACCCATTTTGCACCAGCGTCCCCCTTGCCCGTTTGCCTGCAGAGGGTTTCCTTGTCAGCACGGACTCGCAGAGCGCTCGGGTTCTCATTCTCCCTTTGCAATTGGTGTGTCGAAAATTCATCCCAAAGCTGTTGCTCCCCCTCTCCAACTTCCGAAGCTTTTACTTAACCGTATGACGTAAAAACTTCGGTGCTTTGTGGTCTGTGAAGCCCGCACGACAGAGGCAACGCGTGGCAGACAGAGATTCCGTTGCGGTTTGCTTATGGCTATAAAAAATTGTTGTCCGCATCCAAATGGAAGCGGTGCTGCATGCGAACGGGTCAAGCTCCGACTCCAGTTGCGATTCACGCTTCAAAGGGATGCTGACACAAAGGAGCGGCTGTCCGAGCGTGAGCCGGGGCGTCGGGCACGCTAAAAGCCGCAGCGGGAGGGAGGAATACTGACTTTCAATGCCGTCCCTCGCTGCCTTCCTTTGCCTAATAATCGTGGGTGCGCCCGCTGCTTCATTCAGCAGTTCCTATTCTTCCATAGTGCACCCAAAGCATAGCGAGGGGACGGCAAACCCCTGCGAGAGTTCCTCCCTTTGTCGTGTAAAGCTAAATCCAGGCTGGATGTGGCTCTGGGCAGCCTGGTCTGGTGGTTGGCAACCCTGCACATAGCAGGGGGGTTGAAATAGATGATCGTTGTGGTCCTTTTCAACCCAGGCCATTCTATGATTCGATGAAAATCATAAGGAAGGCGGTAGATTGTGCTAGCTAAAAAAATACACCCCGTCCCCCGTCCCCCCCCGTCCCCCCCGTGTGCGGTTGGTGCTAAAGGATATGTACAGTTCAATGCTCGACTTGTAGGAACACCGTCACCTGCTGCCAGGATCGGCCCTTCAGCTGGTGCCCGGTTATAGCGAACGGGAAGCGTGGCGTATTTTGCCCGACTTCTGTTAAATAGCGGCGTTTTGTATCTTTCTTTTTCTGGTCGTTCGCGCGCGTTAATTTTGCCTTTCTGTGAACTGGGTTTAATTTGCGCTTATACAAAGGAGTTGAGGTGAAGAGAGGGTGCGATCCATCCGCCGGAATTGATTGAAAATGTAGAAAGCTGCCTACCTCGTGGCTGGGATAGGAGAAACAGCAAAAAGAAAAAGAAAAAAAAAAAAGAAAACTGAAACGCTCTGCGCGTATTTTAACGTGTTACGCGATGTGTGTGCGCATAGCTAACAGAGCCCTTGTGATCTCGGTAATGGCCGTAAAAAGCGACCGGCCACAGGTGGCTTTAAGCTGTGCTGTAACAGCGCTTCGCCTGTATAGTTGTTTAGTTGTTTTGCATTTTTTCTTTTTCCTTCAAGCAGAAGAAAACATCTCCGCGGCAATTTAAATTCGGGATAGGTTCGTATAAAGAACAACTCGACGGGGAGAGACAGAGGGAGGGAAGCATCCGTGCGGGACGGGCGTATAGAGAACCAACCGCACGGGCGGGCACAGACACCCCACGGTTAGGAGGTGCCACGGTCAGTGAGTGCCAAGGATCCGGCGTCCGAGCGCAAGCCGCTGGATCGGGTCGCACGGAGCGGGCTGCGGGGAGCACGGAGCCGGTGTTTTCCTTTCTGCACGCTGTCTTACCCCGCAGCGGAGCCCGGCACTTCTCCGACCCCGCACATTTTCCAAGCGGCCGCCGGCTCTGCCCTCCCCCCGTCGTCCCCGCGGCGGCGCCCGTCCCGCAGCCGCTCCCCGGAGCTCCTCCGCGGCCGTCGGAGCGCCGTCGGCGGGCGGCGCGCCCCCTCTGCCGGCCCCACGGCGGAGCTGCAGCGGCGGTTGTCCCGGGGCTCGGCGCCCGCCTCCCAGCCGCCGGGCCCGGGGGCTCCCCGCTCGCCGCCGCCACCGCCGCAGCTGTTGAGTGCGGGCCCCGAGACGACCGCGGGGAGGGGGTCTCCGGGGGTGGGAAATGAGGCGGAGGAACCACAGGGGCGCGGCTCGGCTCTCGGGACGGGGAACTCCAGCACCAACATTGGAAAAAAAAAAAAAAAAAAAAAAAGGACGGAGCCCAAACCCAGCCCGCACGGGCAGCCACGCCTCCACCCGGCGCACCGCCGCCGGCTCCGCTGCTGCCCGCCGCGTGCGGGGAGCCCGGCCGCTGCGGCTCCCCCGGGGACCTCCAGCCCGCGATGCGGGACCGCCCCGGGGCAGCCAGGCCGGCGCTCGAGGCTCAGCCCTCGGCGGACGAACCGCATCCCGCGCGGCAACCGCAGCCGCACGCGGAACCGCTGCCCGCACAGTAGCGGCGGCGGCGGCGGGCGCGCCAATTCCAGGAGCCCCTGGCCCGCGGCCGCGCCCTGGCTGCTCCCGGAAAGGGCTGTGATTGGCCGGCGCCCTCCCCGTATGCAAAGCAGCCGGGGGGATGACATTCCTCCGCACTCCGCCCGCCGCAGCCGACGCGCTGCCGGCCGCCTCCATTCATCCCAGCGGCGGCGGGCGCCGAGCGGAGCGCCGAGCGGAGCGCGGCGGGGCCCTGCGCGGTGTGCGGCCGGCGGGCGGGCGGGCAGGAAGGCGGTTCTCCCGTGAAGACCCGAGGGCTGCGCGCCGTGGAAATGTCTTCTTCTCCGCGCGGCCGTCCGGGCTGGAGGCTGTGAGCGCCGAGCCCGGCTGGGAACTTTGCGTTTGGTCATCCCCGCTTTTCGCTGTCTGCGCGGCGTCCTGCCCCCCTCCCCCCCGTCACCCGTTTGGCGGAAGGGAAACTCTCAGCGACTCGACGCGGGGCTGTTGGAAACGGAGCTGAGCGCTGCCGGCTGGCTGCGGGGTGCCTGCGCGGCTCTGCGTGGCTCTGCGCGGGTTCTGCTCGCTGTTCTCCCCCCGACCCCAGTGCTGCAGGCGGCGGAGGGAAGAGCCATGCTGCCCGAGGCGGGGCTCCACCTGCTGCGGTTGACATCGTGTTAAGCAGCCTCTCCTGCGGCCGAGCGAAAGGAAGACCGCCTCAGATACCGAAGGGGAAAAAAAAAATCAAAGCAAAACAAAACCAAAAAACAAAACCAAGTTGGCAACGAGTGACGAAGTTGTTGCAGTGTGGGTTTGAGTGCTGAGGGGAACGTGAGTTGAGAGAGAGGGAGCGCTGTGGCGCACACCGACCGCAGAGCGCCCGCAGCCTCACCGACAGTCGGGGGTGGCCTCAGCCATCGGCCGCGGCTTTACGCAGAGCGCTGTCCCAAAGACAAATCCAAAGAGAGACATCTCAAGCCATGCACTGAGCGTTTCTTTTTATTATTATTATATGTTTTTTTGCGGGAATTATGGCGAGGCCATGAGCCCTCGTAGAGCGACGCGAACTAAACGACCGAAGCTGATTTTCGAGGCTGCTTAAAAAAAGAAAAGAAAAAAAAAAAAAAAAAAAAAAAAAAAAAAAAAAAAAAAAAAAAAACTAAAAAAAATATACCAGCCAGGCCGTAGAGCACTGATGGATGCCTGCCGTGTTTAAAGCCCTGGCGGATCGCGCCGTCAATACTTTATGACGCGCGGTGCGCGTGTGTGCGCGCGTCCGGGGCCGTGCGCGCAGCTGTGCCCGGCGGAACCCTGAGCGCCCCTCGGAGCGCGGCGCGCCCCGTTCGGCCCCGCGGAGCCGCCCCCGCGTCCGGCTACAAACAACCAGCGGGCACCGGCATCCAAACGAGTTGCCCCCGGCTCCCCGCCCCGCGCCCGTGTATGTCGCTCCCCAGAGAGCGGCTCGCCGAAGAGTTCCTTTCGCTTCGCTGTTTTGCCCCAAGCCCTCGGAGGTCCCTCACTCAACAGGCTTGTTGTGATGCGTATCCCCGTAGATACCAGCACCAGCCGCCGCTTCACGCCGCCCTCCACCGCGCTGAGCCCGGGGAAGATGAGCGAGCCGCTGCCGCTGCCCGGCGCCGAGCACAGCGGAGCGCTGGCGGGGAAGCTGCGCGCCGCCGACCGCAGTATGGTGGAGGTCCTGGCGGACCACCCCGGGGAGCTGGTGCGCACCGACAGCCCCAACTTCCTCTGCTCCGTGCTGCCCACCCACTGGCGCTGCAACAAGACGCTGCCCATCGCCTTCAAGGTACGGCCGCACCGGGGGCGGGCGGGAAGGGCAGGGGACGGGACGGGGAGAAGGGAAGGGAACGGAAGGGAAAAGAGCTGGGATGGGGAGGGCGGGCAAGAGGCGACCCCGCGGTGGGGAACACGGCCGACCCGGGGAGCTCTGCCCCAGCCGCGGCAGCCAGCACAGAGCCTCTGCGGGAGGAGGGGGGAAAAATAAAGGACGGAACCCGAGGAGCACCCGAAGCACCGATCTGGGGTGCCAGCGACGGGCTGGCCCTCCCCCCAGAGGGGCTGCACCTAGAAGCTAACCCTCAAAAAAAAAAAAAAAAAAAAAAAAAAAAAAAAAATTTAAAACATACTAAAAAAAATGGAAAAAAATCCTTTTTTTCTTTATTTATTTTTTCCTTCTTTCTTTTCTTTCTGTTCTTTCTCTTCTTCTCTTTCCTTCTTTTCTTTCCTTCTTTCTTTTCTTCCCTTCTTTCTTTTCTTCTTTCTTCTTTTGTTCTCTCGCTTTCTTTTTCTTTTCCCCCCTCAAACCCCGCTCGGAGCCCACGCAAACGCGGGGCTCCCATCCCGGCTCTCCCCCCGTTCCCCCTGCCACCGGGCCGGAATCCACGGGACGGGTGCGGAGCTCGGCGCTGCCCTCCCCTCCCAGCCCCGTCCCCACTTCCCGTTACCCGACTGTAGGCAAAACTCTCCCCCCTCGCTTTGCTCGTTTTCTGCTTTTTTACTTCGGCCTGCCGCAAGCTGAGCGGTTTTCGGTCTGCTCCTTACGATCCCCTCGAGGCGGAGCGCCCCGAAGCTCAGAGTTAGGATGGGGAATCGGCAGAGCTCCGTGGGGCGCTCAGCGCCGGACCCCCACCGCCCCAGCCCGGTCCCTCGGGCGGCTTTTGGAAGCAGGCAACCGGCGCGGCTTCCGGGGCTTCGGGATCATTTCCCAAAGTCCGTTCATCGCTGGGAGCTCTCCTGGAAGGCAGAGCTGTGCGGAGCCCCGCCGGAGCCGCTCAGCCGCGGGTAAAGCTCCTCTGAAGAGCCGAAAGTGCTCGTGGTGTGGTTTGCCCTCGGAATACGCAAGGAAAGGAAAATGAAGGAGAGAAAAAAGTGAAAACCACCAAAACCGGGAGAGCGTTTGCTGATGCGGTAAAGACACCTGCCCGCCGGGCAGATGGCTTTGTTAAAGTCGCGATTCTTAAGGAAAATAGAAAACACAGTTCGTTCCTCTGTGTCTTATGTTCTCATCTGACACAAAAATCGCTGGGTTTCATTATCCCCCATTGCTAACAATCATTGCACCGACATAAAAGAGGCAGAGAGGTTTCTCCTCATGTTTCCTTACATTTGATCTGTAGGATCGGGATATTATACCCAAACGCAATGACCATTTCCGTGCACGGTTTTGTGGGTTTTTTTTCTAAAGTAAGGAAGGATTCTGAGAAACTTAAAGAAAAATATGTAACAGCTCTCACAGGGTGCCATACATATTCCTTGTCCAAACGCTGCTTGGAAATCATCTCAGTCTTCATTAAAAAGGCCAATTTGGTTTGGTTGCTGCACCAGCAATGAGCATTTTGATAGCTGGCGGTGCTGCAGCAGTGCTGCTCCCTTCTCTGGAAGCACACGTCTTTTAGGAGCACAGATAACAGCAACCAGCAAGTCCCGACTTATCTGTTCAGTCTTTTTTTTTTCCAATGTCAATGTTTGTATTTCTGCTTCTATTGTTTGTGCCTTTTTACCTCTGATTTCTGCGCTGTGCCTTTCTTTTTTATGCTTGTTTCTAACGTTTTCTTCGCATTTCTTGTCGCTGAGGCTGCCTGCAGTGTGATTTAAAAACGATGCTTCTCAATAGCTGTGCTGTAAGAGCCAATGGACGCTGGGTTCGGGAAGGTTTTTCTCCCTAAAAATGCTGGCAGGTATTTCCTTGAACAAGCCGGCACCATCTGCATCGCAGGAAGCCGAGGGTGATGCCCACATTTCCCTTTTTCCTTCCTTCTGTCCTTAACTCTACGTGCATGTGTTCAGGTTTTCTGATCACTTCATAAGAAATGCGTGCTTCGACTTCACAGCTGCTGCTGGCTTAAGCCAGCCCGCCTCATTGCACAGCGCTGTGGAAAGAGAAAAGTTTGTTAAATGTTTTGAGAGGGGGCCGTCGGGCGCCAAGATCAGGGCTTTATGAAAGGCACAGCGCTGAGTGCAGAGCAGAGAACAGAATAGGCCACAGAGACAGCTCGTGGCACGCGGAGGAGAAGAAAAAACAAAAGCATGAGGAGTGGGAAAGAGGAAGCTGAAATACAGACATAAAGCGGGAATTTTGACGCAGTGATTTTAACTTGGTATGTGGAAGTGAAAATAAGGGTGATAGGTGACAGAACGGAAAGCACTGAAGTGAGAAAAGCAGCCCCCTGCGTCAGGAAAAGCTCTAAAATACCTCTCCCTGTCATGCTGGAGGAAATGGTTGCTACTGGAAGGTCAGCATCAGAGACGGACTGAGTAAAGGAGCAGCTGATCTTGTTTGGAAAGAGCAGTGCGAACAGAAACTAACAGTGGTCAGCCCGGGCTGTGACTAGCTGGAGCCCATTAAAACTGCATGGACGTAAGCTAGAACACGCTAAGAGGAAGGAAAAATATCAAGCAGCAACTCAGAGAACCTGCTGCAGGACTACTTCCTCCTAGAGTATGTAAAAGAGGAAATAAAAATGAACTAGACTTTTTTTCCCCTTTTTTTTTTTTTTTTTTTTTGGTAGTAGTCCTGAGGTCACTCCTGTAGATTTAATTTAGGGAAACAGCTAGAGCAGCGGGTTTGTAAAACAGTGCAAAAGAGGACCTATTTTGAGCTGTTACTTTTGCCAGAGTCAATCAAGGGACACACCAAACATGCATTCGATTGTCACAGGGGAAAACTGCTGTAAGAATTCAGTCTTGCTGAGGAAGATAAGATAAAGTAAAATTCAACTTTTATTAGTTTAAAAGATGTGAACAATGCGTACATCTCCCAACATAAGAAATGTGGATGCTGTGTTCCTGAATATTAGTTCAGCAGATACTGGCACTGGGGTGCTACATTGCAAACATTCAGGATGAGGTGAAAGCTTCTGAGCTATTGCAGGTTTCATTCGTGTCGATTGCAGCTTCCACCCATCAGATCGCAGGTGAGGTCTTAAGTCAGTGATTTGCTTTCACGCTTCCAAAGGGAAAAAGGCGTTGTTCAGTAAGTTGCCTTCAGTAAGGCCTTGGTTGAAGCCTGATTCTCTGTGGATTTATTCTGAATTTATATATTCCTATCAGTGGGATGAACAGAGAGGGAACTGATGCACCTGTGGGCAGCCTGACCCTCTGCGTTCACAAGGCAATTGGCTTGGGTTTGTTTTCTTTCAAATTTTACATTTAGATGCTCGTCCTGACTTCGCTGTAGCTTGAAAGTAAGGCTACTGAGGTAAATCAGATCAGGATTGGTTCCTGTTACTTGAATTTATATGTTGCCAATTACAAAAGTATATTTTGGAAAGCTTTATTTTGTGCTGAGGTCACGTTATGCTTTGTATTTTGGATGCGCGTCAATGTAGCCGTAAGTCTGCATGGTTTTCCCCAAACAGCTTCTAGTCTGCATTCATTTTTGTTGCTGCTGTTTTTTCCTATTTTATACCACATCACTTGTTGATGTTCTATTCCCCAAAACAGACGTCCCGTGAGAAAGCTGAGGTTTCTGTGCTTTGATTTGGTAGGTGGTGGCCTTAGGAGACGTACCCGATGGGACGCTGGTCACAGTGATGGCTGGAAACGATGAGAACTACTCTGCAGAACTCAGAAATGCGACGGCTGCCATGAAAAACCAAGTGGCAAGGTTCAACGACCTCAGATTTGTGGGTAGAAGTGGAAGAGGTATGTATCTGTTTGCAGCCGCCGTTCGGTCATCTTTACCTGCCGTGTCCGGCTCTGGTTACGTGGAGAGAATTTGAGTGCTATCTGTTGAGCTTTCTGCGGTAGGGACATCTGAGGACAGTTTAAAAGGTGCAGAATCAGCTGTGTGTTTTTCACGGTTTATTCTTCAGTAATTCAACTTTTATACAGTAAGATCTCATTTTAAGAAAAAAAAAAAGAAATTGTGGTCAGCGAGGCTCACTGTGACTCCAGAATTCTTCCCACTGATTTAGAACAGCACAATATTGCCCATGCTTAAGTTTAAGTAACACATTTTCAATTTAAAACGATAATTCTCAAAAGCTGATCTCTGCAACAGGGTGAGTCAGCCTACAATTACAAACAGTTCCCACATGATTTTGATTTTTTTTCAAGCTTTATTGCAACCTGACAAGCACTTCTGTGACCTTTCTTTCTCTGGAGTAGCTGTGGAACTGTACACAGTAGTCATTATTTAACGTATTACTGCAGGGTGCATAAGGGTGGGTTAGGACAGGGCAGAACTAAACAGTTAAGCTTAATATTGGCTCTCTGCAATAACTAAGAATTACTGGTACAAATAGAAGGGTCTTAAGAGTGTAAGTAACAAGTCAAAGCTGACTTAGACTGTATTTATATATAACTGTTGTGGGAAGCTCCCGTGTGCACAAGTAGGTATCCAAAGCTTGGTCCAAAAGCCCGTCACAGCAACAGAAGGATGCTTCTTAACGTCACTCTTTAGCTCAAACCCATAATCTTGAAAGCCATGGATCACGTTTACGTTTCTGTTACGAGTTTATTTGAAGCACTGCTCCTGCATTATTGCTCTTGTTCCCATGAGCCAAGCACGTTGGCATGGTCAGGGTGGTTAGAGAAAACCCACTGGAGCCGGTGAAATGTTGGTTAGAGAAAGTGCAGAGAAACAATCAGCCTCTCAGGTTTAAGGTCAAGACTGAAAAACCATCGCATCCTCCATGTGACTTCATCTGCTATTTGCTTATGTATTTTCCTTTTGTCTAGTTCATATCTTCAAGTAAAATCGGAACATAACATCACAGTGTTCTAAAGACAACATTGTTACCTAAGGACAATTCAGTGCTGTAGCATTCACAAATCAAAACGATAGTATCTACAGCACTTGCGTAGGTTTCTTAATTCCATCTTTTGGAGCATTTTGTGAGCCATTGTCCCTGACAAGGAGATTGAATAGTCTGGGGTTCACAGACCCCTCCTCACCATTTTCCCCACTCATGTGGGCATTCCTTAAGCACCCGGTCCATCTTCTAATGCGTGGTGGCACGTGCAGCTCTTACAAGAACGCACTGAGCTACAGGCATGCTTCAGGAGAGTTCAAAGGTGACCCACTTTTGCTCTCTCAAAATCTCTTACTCGCAGTGGCAGATGATGGGTCAAGCTTTAGGCTGAGGAGGTCATTCTGATTATACACAACAGCTCCTATTTGCCTTTCAATTCAAATGCATTTGTGGAGTTCTAGTGTAAGTACAGCCTGCAATTTTAGAAGAACTCGGCCCTCTTGAAACACGGATGCAAGCAGCAGGTACATTTTAAGTGTAAAATCCCCTTTCGATCCGTCTGCATCCTGCAGCATTTTTAGCTGAGGGCACAAAGGGAGATGTCTTTTAAATTGTGTTGTTTGGGCTGTCTTCAAAATGTACTTGGTGGAAAACACCCGCAGCTGAGAACATAGCTTCGTAATGCTAGCAAAGAGTAATAATAGGGTAATGCAGAGAAAATTATATCCATTTACTGAAAACATGAGAGATGCTGTAATGTCTAAAAGTATCAGTCATTAAACATGTTCATTTGTTATATTAAAGGTTCCACCTTTTCAGTAAATGGAATTTGCATTATGATTCAGAGATGACTGTTTAGAAGATTCAAATGAATAGCTGGCAAAGTGGCTGAGAAGCTAATAAAAACAAACCTGTAGTTCAGTTCCTGGCCACGGTAGTGAAGCTAGAAATCATAACAGTGAACTGTGGGATTTTCAAGGTCAAAATTCAGCGGCAGAGGGAGAACAGTGGCTATTCATTCAGCAAGCTTAGCAGAGAGCCTCTCTGAGCCCCTTGCCTGCTGGATACCGGTGGCTGGAAGCCGTCACTCACGGATGTGCGTGCATGTGGACGTGGATGCTGTGCTCTATGTGACACCCAGGTGCTCGGGATCATTTCAGCTATAGAGTGATTTGGGAGCGCTGCGTGCTGCTAGCCAGTCCTGGAGGTTAAATCTCATGAGCCCCATTGGCTGCCCATCTTTAGAGCCAGTGACTAATGTATGCTTGTGTTTACTCCTCCAACAGGGGATTGTTTTCCAAAGGTGTGGATTGTTTGCATTTGGTACATGATTTCTGAGGTGCTGTTCTGTTGAATTTGTATAAAGCCTGAAGCATAAGGTGGCTGCTTCAAAGGGCATTGCTGCCTTTGATACTTCGGTAGAGGGAAATTAACTGAAACTTTGTTTGCTGTGTAATATTTGAGTTTGAATAAGTTCGGTTGCCACCAGTGATAATGAGATGCCAGGAATATTATATGAATAGCCATTGAAAGTTCACATTGGTTGCAGTTATAGTGGGCATTATTTGTGTACCTGGGTGATTTAAAATCACTGCTGGAGAACAAGGAACGACTTTGCCGAGTGACAGTCCTGGTCCATGTCTCTATTTCACTGCACATGAGCTCTTGCTCAGGTGTAAAGATCCCCATTAAAGCCTCACAGAACTGTCAGCAAGCCACTTCCCTCTCTCTTTTAAAATAGGAGAAAATTGTCGCTCTTGACATTCCTGACAAATAGTTCAGTTTTTCTTCTGTGGGCTTTCAGTGAGGTCTGGCAAGGCAGCCAGCAGTTGCTTCACACACTCCTGCAGAGGACCATTGTCCCATCGCAGTAAACAAGCGGCTCCATGGGAGCATCCGACTCACTCCATCCAGAGGTCTGATCCTGTGCATCTGTGAAAGCCCAGGTATCAGCTGCGCCTCCAAGAACCGCATGGCATTTCAGCACTGGTTCCATACTGAACGGGGAGCGCTGGCCCTGTGCTGTTCAGGCTGTACCTGCAGTTCAGGATTAAAAAAACACTCTCATTTTTGACACCGAGGATGGGAGCTGAGAATATCACAGGTCTCCCGAAACAGCGAGATGTTGTATGAAAGCAATTTGGCTGGCTTTCCCGAACAAAACAGATTTACATTGGAATTGGCTGGGGTCCAGAATTGCTATTCCTCACCCTGGTTTGAGAATGCTACTGGGAAAACCTGCCTGTCTGGCTTGTAAACTCAAGTAAGTAATTTCTGAAAGAAAAATGTAGTTTAAAACTTCAGCCAATCTCAGCCCCTTGTGCCTGCTTACCTGTTTAAAAAAACTTTTTCTTCCTCCATTCATAATCATTTTGAACCTCAAACTGCTGCTAGTGCCCTGTTTTCTCAATTTATAAGGAGCAAGTTTGTGTTACGGTGATGAAATAAATCCAATGCAAAAAGCCTGACACCGTGGAAGTTCATTGGATAAAATTAAAAATAAATAGTTATTTTGGAGAGCGCAAGCCTCATGGCTCAGTAAGCATTACATATTTTCCTCATGGAATCATTAATCCCATTAACTATCTTCTTTGTAAAACGTAAGAGTAAAAAAACAACAACAACAAATATTTTTTCCAGATGAAAATGATTATTAATAGGTTATCATAATAGGAGCTAATGAGGAGTTGTCTTGGCTTGCTGCAGATGTCAATTTAAAGCTGGAGTCTGTAGCTGGAGCTTCATGATATATTGAGCTTTCCAGCAGGGTCCTTTTAAAAACTGAATTTTGGAATGGACTGTACACTGAGCCTGCATATATATTTTCTGCCCACTATTGAGATTAGGCTCGTCTGAATAAATTTCACAATCGTTTTCTTTGGAGTTGAAAAAATACCCCATTTTCACAGAAGCAGCTGGTAGGAGAGCACGGGAGGCATATTACCAAGCACAGTTGTAAGTTTCTGCCTCCAGAAGTCTTCCTTCTGGATATAATTTTGGGGAAGAAAAATCAGTTTGAGCTGGAATCTCAGAAATAGTCAAAAGACAAGAATTACTGGCCTGTATCCCAAGTCCAATTATTTTTATTGCTCTTCTGAAGTCAGAATTTTGCTCCTTCTGTGTAGCTTCAGCTTGTGGTTGTGTTATGTAGGCACTTAGTTAAAATTTGTTTTATTTTTACTTAAGCATATTCAAAATTACAAAAGTATGTGCAAAACAGAGGAGGATGCTATTCAGCAGGATCGTAAAATCAGCGTTAAGCAGCCACCCGCGTCTGGGTCCAAACCATTGGAATGCTTCAGGGGATGTGGTATCAGATACTGGACTAACGACTTGCCATACTTGCCAGGCAGGACAAAAATAGAAGAAGTACAGCAGCAATCAGGGCTGAAAAGGAGTCAGTTGATAGAGCTGAAAAACAATTGGTTATCAATACCTTGGGCCGATGGGTGTGCAACAGTAGTGGATGTGCCACCAACAGATGCTTGGCACAGAAATTCTCACCGCGCTTCGGTTAGATGTCGACGCGTATCACAGGGCTCTCCTCCATCATCCTGTCTGACCCTCTAAAAGACAGGGACTGGAAGTGGGCATTTGTTCTTGAGTGACATATGGGGGCTTGGCTGTGTCACTCATTTCATCAAGAGCTCTGTGTGTGTGAATGACGTAGCCTTGCCAGCATTCAGCGAGAAAACTCCTGACCCTAATGCCCACGAGTCAGTGCGTCTTTGAGGTCAGTCAGCACAGGTCACAGTGAGACTGCTGAGCAAAGCCAGCCCTTGAAGCACGGCTGTTCCCAGCACAAGCCCTGGACAGAGGCTGGCTGAAAGAGGTGGGGGAGCAGGCTTGCTTATTGCCAGCATCCAGCCCCAGTCGTTGTGGGTGCACGCTCGGTACGTGCAGCCGTTTTTCTCTGAATTGCTGATTGTGTAAGAAAGTATATGATAC